GTTTGAGGCCGTCCTGGCCGAGGCCGGCGCCCGCCTGCCCCTGCTGGAGTCGCTCACCCTCGAGTTCAACAACGCCGCGCAGCGCCTGGAGACCCGCCACCTCGCCGCCGTTGCCGCCGCCGCGCCGCGCCTGCGCGCGCTCGCGCTGCGCGCAGACTTCGACCCCGACGGCTGCTCCTTCGCCGCGCTCGCGCCGCTGGCGGCGCTGCGCCGCCTGCGCGTGCTGCCCGCGGACGGCTGCGCGGGGCTGTCCGACGCCCACGTCACGTCGCTTGGCGCGCTGCCCAGGGGCGTCGAGAGCCTTGAGTTCCCCGGCCACGCGCGCGCCTTCACGGGCGCGACGCTCCGCGCGCTCGCCGCGCTGCCGCGCCTCGCGCGCCTCGCCGTCGCGTCGCCCAAGCCGCCCGCCGGCGCCGCCGCGGCGGCCGCCGTGGAGTATGCGCTGGCCGCCGGCGCCGTGGAGGAGATCGCCGCGCTCGCGCGCCGCCGCGGGCCCAAGGCCCCCGCCTTGGACCTCGAGATTGGCGTCCCCGACGCGTCGTGGGTCCCCCGCCTGCTGGCCGTCTCCGCCACGCGCCCGCCGCACGCCGGTGGCGGCCTGGGCCGCCTGTCGCTCGCCGTGCGCGAGGCGGCGAGCGGCGAGGCGGTCGCCGCGATCGCGGCGGCGCCGCGCGCGGCGGCGGCGCTGGCCGGGCTGGAGGTCGCGTTTGGCGGCGCGCCAGAGCGCGCCGACCTGGACGCCATCGCCCGCCTGTCTGGGCTCGAGCGCCTCACGATCACCAGCAAGTGTGTCCGCCCTCCGTCGGCGCGCGTCGACGCCGCCGAGGCGCTCGCGCCGCTCTCGCGGCTGCGCAGCCTGCACCTGCACATCAACCCACAGTGGCGCGCGCCGCTGCGCGCGGACGCCGTCGCGGCGCTCGCTGCCGCGTGGCCGGCGCTCGAGCGGCTGCACCTCCGGCTGGGCTCGGCGGACCACGCCGCGCACGGCCTTGGGCAGCTGTTCCGCTTCGCCCGCCTGCGCGAGCTCAGCCTGCAGTGGCTCGGCGACGACCCCGCCGCCTGCGGCGCGCGCGGCGGCCGCCGCGCGAGCGTCGACGTGCCGGTGCTGCAGCTGGGCTGCCTGCCGCGCGGCCTGGAGGAGCTGTCCCTCACGAGCATCTCTTCTGTGCGGCTGGCGCCGCCGGCGCCGTTCGACCCGGCGTACATGGCGGCGCCCCCGCTGGGCGCGCTGCGCGCGCTCGCGCTCGACGGCAACTTTGGCCTCAACGACGCGCTGCTGCCCGCGCTGACCGCCCAGCTGCCGGCGCTCCGCTCGCTGTCGCTCGTGCTCGCCGGGCGGCAGGCGCTCGGCGGCGGCGGGCTCGCGGCGGCGGCGGCCGCGCTGCCGGCGCCGGGCGCGCTGGCCGCCCTCCTCATCACAGACTATCGTGAGGGGCCGCTGGCCCTCGACCAAGGCTGCCTCGCCGGCCTCGCGCCCCACCTGCCGCGCCTGCGCCACCTGAAGCTCTCCACCCCCGACATCGTGCACGCGGCGCTGCGCCCCGAGAGCTTCTCGCCGTTCACGCGGCTGAGGCGGCTGGACCTCGTCGGCTGCCAGGACCAGGCGGCCGAGGCGCTCGCCGGCGCGCTGCCGCTGTGCTGCTGCAAGCCGCGGCCGGGGTGGGCCGGCGAGGAGGCGGGCGCGACGGCGGGCCCGGGGCCGGCTGAGGGGGCACAGGCCGCGGCGTGACGCGGCGGGCGAGGCCCTGTCGGCTGTCGAGGGCGGTGCGGGGCGGCGCCGCGCCGCGCGAGTGCGTGGCCCCGCCCTGCGTCGCCCTGGGGAGGGCGCCCTCGCTCTTGCGTCGTGGCGTGACGTGCCTGGACCCCTTCACGCGCACAGCGCTTATTCCTGGCTATCATCTCTCTTGCTCTTCACTATTTTCAGTTTCCCATCATGCGCGCGCGGCACGTGTTTTCTCCCCCACACACGCACACCGATAAACGCGGCGCCACTATCACGCGCCCCCCTCAAAATAGAAGAAGCATGTATTCGCCGCACTTATTTCCCGCACAAGGGAGGCGGCCCACACCCGCTTTGCCTTGTGAACCGGAATCCGCACCCGGGACGAGTGGCGCGGCTGGTGAGGGCGCGCACCCCCATCGGCACCCGCGACCCCTTGGGCAGCCAGCTCTCAGGTTGCCTTGCAGGTGCTGCTGCTATGCAGCACGCCAAGGGGCACGCGTCCTAGGCGCACGCCTCCTTGCGCGCGGCTTCCGCTGGCCCCCTCTCAGCCGCCGCAATGCGCCAGGCCGCTCATGGGGCTGCGCGCTCCAGTTGCTGCAAGTTTGCGCCCTCCCGCAGTGCCACCTGCCGCCTTGCAGCTGGCATGCGTTGCGGCGCACTGCGTGCTGCTGTGAAATGCCAAGCGGAGCGGAAGCGGCTGCCGCCGCCGCAGCAGCGCGGCGCTCGCCCCCTTGGTGTTGCTTGTTCGCCTAGGCCCCGTTGCGACCCGTTTCCTTTTCCTGATGAGCCTCGACGCTCCCGCCTGGCGCGCCCCTCGGCCCTCGCGGTGTCCCTGGCCTGTGCGTGCCAGCTGCGCGCTCGTCCGCGGCCGTCCAGTGGCGGCCCGCCGCAGCCCGGCCGCAGGGGCACACCAGGCGGAGCGGGGTCCCGGCGCCCAGCCTAGCTGCCAGCCGTATGCTCAGAGCCTTTGCGGCCCCTCACCTCGCACGTGGTTGCCTCTGGCGTGCAAGGCACCCAGGGCCGCCCTGCGGGTATGTGCTCGTCTACTAGCCCCTGCGCTCGCGGCGCCCTCGCGGACAGTGTGCGCGCACTTGCACAGGCCCGCGTCGCTCTTCCTAGAGCCTGCCGCGCCCCGACGGGCAGCCCGCGCCACTTGCGGGGCCCGCGGGGCGTTTGACCCGCCCGCCGGCCGCACGGCGGGGCCGGCGCCTGCTAGCTCTCGCGCGCGCGCATACAATGCGCCGCCTCCGCTCCCAGCGCCTCGCCGCCGGCTGTACGTCCAACCACCGCAACTGTACCCGCGGCCAGCCGCCTGTACGAACCGGCAACCCCTTGCACCTCTCTTTCTTGCTCGGCGTTTCCTTTCCCTTTGTGTGGTCCCAAAAGGCAGGCGCGCCCGCCCGCGTCCCTGCTGAGGCGCGGGCGGTTTTCCAGCGCTCGCCCCGTTGTGAGACGGCGTGTACCCTCTGCCGACCCCTCCCGGCGCAGCAAAGTTTTTGCCGCGGCGCGCCCCCGCCACAGGGCGTGCCGCCGTGTACATCCACCCAACTTCCGCACTTTTGCTGGGGCGGCCTGTTTTGGCAGCGAAAACATCAGTTGTGCTGCCCTTGTCGTGTTTTCGCAGTTTGCGTGCCCAAGGTGGCCTTGGCCCCGTGTGCGCCCGGCCTCGCGAGGCACTCGCGGCTCTCGCCTGCGCCAGGGCCGACGCCGGTGCGTCTGCCCCGCCCTTACCTCTTCATGCCATTGGATTGCTTGGTCTCCTGCACGCACCGCTTGCACGCTCGCGATCCAATTTTGGAGGATGCTGTTTTGATGTCTAGGCGAGCCCCTGCCGCACACTGCTCCACCACACTGCGCCGCTTTCCTTCTCAATCCAATTCACCCGGCACGCCTGTTGCTCGCATGCAACCGCCCATCCAACAACCAAATGCACTGTGTAACCCAAATGTACCTATAACGTTACAGTCTTGTACGGTTCTGGGCTGGAATGAAGATTCCTTGGGCCCAACATGTCGGGACGGCGGCGCCCAAAACACACACCAGCTGGAAACTAATCTGCGTGCTTGGCAGCCCGAGGACTCGCATGCGAACTTTGGGCCCTGGCGAGCCGTCCAGACTTCACCGCTTGCTGTTTCTAACGCAAGGCGCCCCCTGACTGGGCCAAGGTGACGGGGAAGCCAGAAAGGGTAGGGGCCAGCTGCCCAGCCCCGAGGGGGTGGAGGTGGCCGTTCCCTGCGACTTTATTCGCAGGGCGGGCGCACCTAGAATTTCCAAGAGGCAGGGGCCGCCAGGGCGCTGCGCATGGCCTGCTGCTCCTGCGCACGCACGATGGAGGCTGTGGTCGGCCGCGCGCAGTTAGGGGACTTGCCGGCGCTCACAGGCGGTGTCCTAGCTGCGGCCGCGACTGCAGACGCGGCTGGAGGGGGCGTCGCCATTGCAGCAGCCGCGGCCGCGGCCTTGGGCGCGCGGGACGGCGTCGCCGCGGGCTGCTGCTGTGGTGTCTGCGGCCTGGGCTCGGCGGCGGGCTGCTGGCTGGGGTGCGGCGCCGCGGCGGGGGCAGGCCTGGGGGCGTCGGTGTCGCAGCGTCCGCCGTCGATGTCACGGTCGGCTGGCAAGTAGGGACCGGCCTTCTTCGCGGGGCTCAGCGGCACATGGATTGGCATGCCACGGGGTTCGCTGGGGATAGCGTCCACCTGGGACGAAGGGGTGTTGTCGGGCGGGCGTGCGCGGGGCATGAAGGTGTCCGGTGCGCGCAATGCAGCTCGGGCTGCTGTTGTGGTGGTCAACACCATTGTGGGCCGCCCGCACCAGTCGCCACTCATAGCTGTCCACGGGTCGGCTGATCGCCTCTGGGTCATTCACATGAGCGTTGATGCTCGTGCACGCCACCTTACCTGCACGTTCGCGAGTCTGGGGACCGCCAGCACAGCACCCGCGTCCTCATCGCTGTACTTGGTCTCCACCCGCGTGCAGCACCACATAATGTTTATCTGCTTGTATCCACGCGCTCGGCGCTGATCTTGGGGGGCTTGTAAGCCTGCCAAACAATGCTCTGACCGGGGCGCGGGTGGACAGGTGGATAGCTTCTGCAAGCGTCAAGATACCCAAGTGATATGAATAATTGGGCCTTATCAATTCGTGATTCCTGCTTCTTGACCCTCGCCAGGCTATGATATTTCGCCATCCTTTCGATGGGGGGCAACGAAACGGTTGGGGCATCCTGTTCGCAGTCTATCAATTCGTTTTCATCCTACGGGCATCGTGCAGGTGGTATCATGCAGCATATGTACAGTACATGGGGCAGGCGCCTTTAGCACTGTGGATCTGATGTGCATATGATGTTCGTGCTAGAGAGGTGAATTCTTCGTGCATGCCCAAATCCTGCGCGTTATAGCCCGTTGTAAAGGTAGTGCTGCGCCAGAGACGCACCCCCACCTCCGAAGCTGGCAGGCGCCGCGCGATCCGAGGGACGTCACCGGCCTCGTGCCGGAAACCGCTGGGGTTGAAAGCCAGAACGCATCCCTGCCTACGCACGACAAGGCATCCACACGTACAGAATACTGTCACGGGCCTCGTCCTGGCGGAAGGCCGAGCGCGCCAGCGGTGCGTCCATGGTGAGGCGGCGACTCGCCGCCCTCCTCGAGGCGTGGCTGCACCTTGCCATCCACTGCACCCTGGGGCCGTGGCTGCTGGCCGTTTACTTCGGCCTCCATATTCTTGGCGTGCAGCCTGCCACCCCTCCGCCAAAACAAGGCCCGAAGCGGCGCACAGCAGTAGGAGGGAGAGGCATGCGGCAGCAGGTGGGTTTGAGGCCTTCTCCCGCATCTCCACAGTTTGCATGAGGGGCACAACGCAGGGCATGCTACGGCTGCATTCATGGCCACGCTATGCTTGTTCTCACCTTGTGGTGCCTCTCACCCTGAAACGTGGGCTCCTGCGGTTGGCTCTCCAGGGCGTTTGGCGCAGCGCTGTTGCATGCAGAGTTCCAGCAGCAGGTGCCGTCTGTCGGCCCCAATTTCAAACGGCCCCTCATGGCCCCATGACCACGCGCACTCCAGGAGGAACCGCTTAGCGGCAACCCCAGCGCCCTGACGGCGTGCAGCCCAGCAGCTGCGCCCCAGGCCCCAGCAGCGCCCCGTCCAGCGCCGCCGCTCGCCGCGGCGGCCGAGGCGGCAGAGGCGCGGCCGCCCCTCCCACAAACGGCGCGGCCCGCGATGCAGCCGGCCTCCCCGGTGCCTAGCCCCATGCCGGCACCCATGGCGGCAGCGGTGCCCCCACCTAATCTCATTGCCCTGGTGCCGCCCTTGTCCCTTTTATACCATCAATTCCAAGCCATCCCCTACGACAGCCCCCCAAGGCGCCACGCCCGCCCGCGCGCACCCCGGCGTCACGCGCCGCCGCCCCGCCGCCGTGGCGGCGCCGTCGCGGCGGGCCGCGGCGCGTTGGCGTTGCCGCGCTGGCGTGCCCCGTCGGCCCTGTCCCAATATGAGAGTGGATCCCAACAGCAGGCACACCTGCCGCAGGGAGAGGCGGAGACTGATATGATGGTCGCTCTAGCGGCGACCAGTGCAGACTGCGCTGTGCAGGCGGCAGACTGTTTTCGGGCTGTTTTGACGCCTGGCATTGCAGCAGGCGATGACATAGCCAAGCTTCCGCGCCCAACGCCGGCCTTGAGCACCGCAGCGGCACAGCACGGCGCGCCGGCAGGCGATGTGCCACAGGTGGTAATTGTGGCAGCGACGTCCGCGGCTGCGCAGCCCACTTGCGGCCGCTGCGGGAGCAGTAAGGGGGGCAGCGGCGCAGGTAGGACAGCAGGCAGATGTACCAGCAGCAGCATCAGAAGCAGCAGCACCACCACCAGCAGCAGCAGTGATGGCAGTAGCAAATGCAGGGATGGCACACTCCCAAATCCCAGCAGCAGCAGCAGCAGCACCTCCACCACCAGCTGCTGCAGCAGCAGCAGCAGCAGCAGCAGCAGCATCGACCTCAGCGCCAAGGCTGCTCCCAAGGAGTCCGACATCTTGGCGTGGATCGCTGACTGCTCCAGCCGGGCCGCCCCTGCCACGGGCACAGCCGCCAGCCCGCCGCACCCCCTGCGTCCGCCCTTTCCCCGCCGACAACACGGCGAGGCGCCACCCAGCCCCCAGGGCCTGCGCGCGCTGCTGCCGCGTGGCACGGCCGCGCGCAGTGGCGCCGCGCCGCAGCAGACCGTGCTGCTAGACCTGCCGGCTCCCCTCCTGCAGTCCATTGCCGCGCGCCTGCCGACCGAAGCGCGGCGCGGGCTGTCCGCGGCCTGCGCCCCGTTGCGTGCGGCGGCGCTGGCGAGCCTGCGGCGGCTGCGCGTGCCGGCAGAGCGGCTCGCCGAGCTGGCGGCCAGCGACAACGCGTTTTGGGGGGTGTCGGCTTTGGAGCTCGATTTGCAGGGGCGAGCGGAGGGTGGCGCGCCGCTTGAGGCGCTGGAGGGGATGACCCTCTCGCAGCTGCTGCTGTCTGCGTCCCTCCGCCTGCCGCCGCGCGGCGTGCGGCGGCTCGTGCTTACGCATGCGGGGCGGCGCGTCGGCGGGCTGGGGAATCTGACCGCGCAGCTGCCGGGGTTTGTGGAGGTCGAGCTGTCAGGATGTGGGTGCGCGTTGGCTGGCCTCGGCGCGCTGCTGTCGCCGCTGCCGGCGCTCTCCTCAGTCAGCCTCTCGCGATGCGGCCTTGGCGGCGGCGGCGCCGCCGGCGGCGCCGGCGCGCTCGCGCCGCTGGCGTTCGCCGGCGCGTCGCTGACTGAGCTGCGGCTGTCCTTCGTCGCGCTCGGGCCCGAGGGGCTGGCCGGCCTCTCCGCGCTGCCGCGCCTGCGGCGGCTGGCGCTGCGCGGCGTGCGGCAGCCGCGGCTGCAGTTGCGGCACGTGTCGGCGCTGGGGTCGCTGGAAGATCTGGAGATCTCGGGCGTCGAGACGGCCCCCCTTCTAGAAGGTGCGGGCGGCGAGGGGGGCCTTCAGGCGGCGGGAGGCCAGGGGCCGCACGGCGGGGATCTGGGTGGTGTGGGAGATCTGGGCGTGGCTGCGGGGCTGGTGGCGGACGAGGAGGGGGCGGAGGGCGCTGTCGCGGCAGAGCAGCCGCCCGCGGTTCAGTTGGCTGGGGCCGCGGGCGGCGGCGGCACGGGGCCCGAGGCGGCGCACCTGGACGACCTCGCCGCGGCGCTCTCGCGGCTGCGGGGCCTGCGGCGGCTGAGGGTGCGGCGGCTGCGCGGCACGGGGGGCGCGGTGGAGGGCGCGCTGGCGGAGCTCTCAGCGCTGACGTCACTGGCGCTGGAAGACGCTGACCTGGCGGACGGCGCGCTGCCTCTCTGCTGGGCCGCGTGGGCGTGCGGGCTGGTGGAGCTTAAGGTGAGGTTCTAGGGATTGAGGCGCTAGGGATGTTTTTCTGTATGTTTGGGGGCGTCCTTGGGGGCGTACGCTGCAGGCCCGTTGCGTTGTCCGCAGCGCTGTGGGCCGTCAGTGGGGGCCAGGCGGCGGGCGGACCTTTCGCGCTGAGCTGCGCTTTGCGGCTGGCTGGCCGCCGGTGGGCTGTGGCACACAGGAGGGGCCTCTCACTTGTCTTGGATGTCTAGTCAGCTTCCTGCCTCGAGGCAGCGCAACAGCACCCCCCAATTCGACGCTGCATCCCGGTGATCCCCGCCTAGCATGCGCGTGCTTGGCTCCATCATAACTCTCGCGGCTGCCGATATCATCAACAGGTCAGGAGCTTCTGCTACGCGCGCCCGTGGCCCGGCCCGCCCCTGGCCGCACTCACGCGCCTGGAGGCCGCCGGCGCCTTCCGCGCCCCGGAGCGCTTCCTCGGGGGGTTCGCGCCAAACCTCGGACTCCTGGACGTCGGAGGGATCGACTGGGGCCGCGGCCCGCCCGCCGCCGGCTTCTCCTTCGGCACCGCCGGCGACGGCTGCGGGCTGCACACGCTGCGGGTCGGGCACTGCGGCGGCGCCGACGAGCTGGGGGAACCGCCAGTGGCGGCCCTTGGCGCCGCTGGCATGGCGG